TCGCCCTCGCGGGGGCAAGAGCGAGTTATGTCGGACTCACACCGACTAAAACCCCCACGATGTTACACCTAGGTGCATATCGGCAGGGTCACGGAAACGCTTTCGCACATTTCCGCGACCCTGCCAGCATTGGCCGCCTTAGCAGCCCCTTCCCGGGGAGCAACTCCCGTCTCCTCCAGGTACGGCGCGCTGGAACATTCAGCGCGCCTTCCTCCTCGGCCTCATTTTCCTCCCATGGCCACGGCCAACGAACTCCCCCGAGTTCGCTGACCGGGGCCATGGGAGCCAGGAGAGCCAGTGCTAATAAGCAGCAAGCCTCCTAGCAGCGGCGGACCTGGTCTGTGGCTCCGCCGCTGACCACGTTTCGGCCGCGGAGGATAGGAAGAACGGCGCACCGCAATACCGACACTCCTCTCCCTCCGCGGCCCCATCACCACTTCATCAGCAGTGCAGCCCCGCCGAGTCGCGGAGGATAGGGATCACCCCCGCGACTCCTCCTCGGTAGCAGAAGATAGGGAGAGTGGCTCAACCTCTACCACCCTCGACCTGTCCCCTGCACCCTCCAGCATGCATGCCTTACACCACAGGCCGGCCCAGTGTGAGTTCCTCTTAGCTTCGCCGAGAGCCACGACTACTAAGCCCCTCCGCCACGTCAAGGCAGGAACCCGGTGGGAGGGGGCCACATATCATCTACACCAACTTCGTAGTTGGCGGTCCACCTCTGCGCGTTTTGTACGCAATTTTTTTGCCCCGCTCAGCTACTTTGTGGAATCAGTTGTCCGTAGCGGAATTTACGAACCGATACGACTTAGAGACCTTCAAGAAGAGAGCCTAGCCTGAATCTTAAAGGTCGGTAAAGCAGTTGCGGTTCCTCCAATCTTGCAAGTGTCAAGCTTACCATCAGGTGACCCGCTTGCTAGTTTGTCTCGTTTTTCATTAAAAAAATCGCATACAAAGTGGACCTTTAAGACTTGTATAATAAAACTACACTGGAGCTTTAAGCTAACGTCAGTACAAGTGTGCCGGTGATCATCTGGTGGATCTTGCCTGCGTATACAGACAATTGTAACGGAGAGTGCGAATATAAGTGTAAGTAATTTTTCCTTTCGATACACAGCTTAGGACACAGAACAGAGCTTCCGTTTGGGGATAGAATGTAAATTTTTAAGATTCTGGGCATTGAACTCACGCGAACATGCTACCCACAAGTAACAACACATTGTTACTTTTAGCATTGAGTGATTCAGATACGCATCATAATGGATCTTCCCATAGGAATGAGATGTTTTGCCACGGTAAAAAGTAGCATACGTATCACTCTCCAGCATTCTAAAAATAATCTAATCTCCACACTCAAAAACCACAACATCGCCGTTGCGACGTGAAAGAGGGACAAACAATTACACTTTCGCATTTATTATAACACCCGTAGGGTTAGTTGCAGATATATTGCCAACTTTTAAAAGCCACTCTCTTTGCTTAGGCACAATAAACATACCAAACAAAAGTATGAATAATTCGAATTTACATTGATCTTCTGTACAGTCATAGTAATTCAATAAAAGAAGTCCATTCACATACAACAGATAAGGGTACTGCGTTAGCCTGCCGCAGTAAAATGTAAGAGATTACATTTTCTTTAATTTACTAAAGTTACTTTAAGAATTAAAATGGATCTCGGCATATGACTTTACCAAACTAAATAAAATATACATCTATGTGGTTTACGTTATAAGTTGCAGATGTGGATGTTTGTGATAAATAATATGCTCACAAAAAAGTAACTTCTCTAATGAGGTTTTTTAGTAAAAGGAAACTATTTCACGGGCTATCTCGTATCTAAATAAAAATTAAAGAAGTTTTAAAGTAATAATTGTTCTATTAAAAGTCATTTTATGGAACAACAGCATATTTGTTAATGTTAAAACTTTCGTTTTTCATCCAAACGTTGAATAAGGCTTAAAAAAACAACCCACGGAATCGATGATATCAAAATGTACCCATACCAAACGGAGCAAAAAGTTTCAATAATTATTTCTTTTATTCATGGTGAGTTTTAATTGTCAGCGGGTGTTGTTTTTAGAGACCGGTCCTGTGGTGCCCGCTCCCCGCTGAGATTTTTGGCTGTAATTTAATTTAGTACCTACGTTGCTCGCAGAGGGAAAAAATGTTGGCATATAAAATAACTAACAGAAATACTTTATTTCTGTTTTATGTTACTTGCTCACAATAGCATAAAATATTAATAGCAACGATTTTAGCTATTAGTTTAGTAGGTAGTAGTACTCCTAGTTTTCCTGTATTTAAATATATTTTAACAAGTCAATCATGAAAGTACTATACGTAAGTGTTAACATACTCCACTCACCATTGTATAATGAGATGAATAACAAAAGGAGATTTAAGAAAATGAGATATTTTTAAACGTTAATATATAACTTCAAATCCGTACTGTGAGATTAGAAATTAACAGCTTAAACTTATAGAGAGCACTTTATTCTTTAACATCACTTTACATGGCAAGGCTTTAACAAATAAGACATTATATTACGCACTTACGAATTCCGAAACTGAAAGTTTCGCGCAAAACGAACACACGTCTGAAAGATATATTTTTATCGCGGCTTTTTTCGTATTTTCGTCTTCAAAGGTGACATGTTTTGGCCACTCGCGAAATATCGTCCGTTCGGAAAGTTTGGACAGTTGTAGAATTTTGTTTTGATGTTAATTAAGTCCGCTAATACAGTATCAATCTTAACGCGCGGTGTTTGAAGCGATGGAACGATAATCGCAATTTTAATGCAGCCGCACAGCGCTCGTAAATGTGGAAGCTTATTTAAACGAACGTGCAGCATTTACGGAGTCCTTGCATTAGCGTGTGTGAGTTTTTCAACTCTTAAGTGTTTCTGGCATTGCTCTGGGCGCCGGCGGAAGTCGAGATTGGCATCCCGGGCGACCACCTCGGACGAACAATCCCGCCCTTGTGCTAACGCTGCAGACTGTCTCGTAATTGTAGCGTGTTTACACTTTAGATGTTGTCAGTGTTATTTCTGCGACGTGTTGTTGTATTTTTTTTAATAAACCCTTACCGTTTAACAATCGGTATTGATTAACTAGTTAAAGTACTAGTAGTAGCACTAGTCAAAAAAACTCACACTTATTTATCTCATACAATTTGGCAGTGCTGCTAAAACAAAATTACAGGAACTTCAAAGATTGCGAAATAAAATAATTTAAAAACTTTTCCGTTACCCCTACATGACGCCAACATGCAAAATTTATAAAGATACAAAATTAATGAACAATAAACAACTATAGGTATATATACTTGTACTCTATTATCTAATGGATATTATCTAATGGATAAATCCATCCATACTAAGTTATCATTTGTAACAAAATCACAAATAAATAAACGCAGTCTTCGTCGTCCTAGCTTACTTGTATTATCAAAAGTAAGAACAAATTACGCAAAAAAAAAAGTATTACCTTTGAAGGAGCTCAACTATACAATAAACTACCTAATCATATAAAAAAATTACCGCATTTAGCAGTTTTAATTCTGAATTATCTCAATACATAATTGAAAACTTTTCTCCTTCGTTTTGAGACTGTTTGGCTGTTAACTGTTTGGCGACCATTAAGAGGCATTGAATTGTCCTTTTTCGGGAATAAATTTCTTTAACCTTATTAAAAAAGAGAGTTGTCTTATAGACCCGGTTGGAATGAAGATACAAACACGGAAAAGATCTAGTCTTTTCCGTGTTTGTAAATAAAGATTAATTTAAAAAGAGGGTATTTAAACGATAAACTAATAATTATTTTTGCATACTCTCAAAATTGTAAAATGGTTTATTCTCAAAATTGTTTAGGTTCCGTGATCGGAAAGTGAATCAAAAATCACTGCAAAAAGATGTCCTATGTCGTATGTCTGGAACAACCTGCCGGCGTCGGTCTTCCCATCCGATTATAACGTAGGCGTCTTCAAGGCAAGAGTGAATAGGCTTTTACTGAGCTAGCGCGCTTACCATCCACGGCTGCATCGCCACTTACCATCAGGTGGGATGGCAGTCAAGCGCTAGTCAGTTCCATATAAAAAAAATGTTTTTGGTGTCGTTAGTCATTGTTACACTTTTTTGCGGTAAAAGCTCCAGTTTAAACTCCGTTCCGATAGTTTTTAGTTAATTTATAGCTTTAACTAAATTTACCTTTGCCTTTTTATGTTGACACATTGATGATAAGAAATACAGGTCGGTTTTTTATCAACATGGCAAAGAATGTCGTGTAGTTGAAGATTTATTCGATTAATGAGCTCGAAACGCTTATGAATCAGAAAAACTTGAAATGAAATGACGTTTACGTCGATGTCTCTGACTTTTTGTTGGCGGCCGACATACAAATTCACGTTCAAAGTACACGTTGGCTTGCAATAAATGTGAATACGAAAACGGTATCTTGCTTTATCCCTTTTTAGATTTCCTTTATTGCTCTAATGAGATTTAAAGTTTAGCATGCATGTTTAAGGGGAAATAACAATATCATAACAATGCCCTTTTAAGTTAAACGGCTTTATTGCTCGGGGGGTCGGTCTTTATGGCTCGAGTGCTTAATAACGCGATGAAATCATCTCATTCAAGACTAGCGAGACTTCAGCGACCGCGGTGCGTGACGACAGCGTACACGTTTCAACAACCTTGAGCGTGGCTTGCATCGGAGCCGAGTAACGCGACGCGACTACTCGGCTAGTATTCGCTGTGACGCCCTCACTACGCCCGCTATTATTAAACGAGTTCATTGGAACATCTATTTGCGCAATTTGTAGCAACGCGCCTAAAGCATTCCGATAACCTCGCGTTGCCTCCACGCGGGCACATTAGTAGTTTTGCTTTTCTTTGGTGAGATGTGGTTTTCATGAGTGCTCAGTAATACAAACGTTATTTTCAAATCGCTATGAGGATATAAACAATTCGCATCGCCCACATCGTTAATTAACCGTCTCACAGGACGTCATGTTTAACATGCACACTAGAACGGATTTCGTCTAGGTGCAAAGCCGGGAGAGAGCGGGTGGCGCATGCGCTCCGCGGTATTTTTGCACGCGCTGCCCATTCACTGCGCAACTTATCCTTCTTCCGAGACGCCATAACACCCTTATTCCGGTAAATATTCAGACGGCACGATGAGCGTTGCGCGGACGGATTCGTGATTTTAAAGTCAAATCCGAAATGAAATTTTAAAAACATCGACGGATCCGGCCGTCCGGCGAGGCGGCGTCTGTCGGCGTGAGGCGCGGAGCGGAGTGGCGCGGGGCGCGGCGCGGCGCGAGTGTGCGCGGGTGCGCGTGTGGTGGTGGAGCGAGGCTCGCCGCGGCGCGCCCCGTCAGTCGGCGGCGGCGAGTCACGCGCGTCGTCTCTTACAGCTTCTTGCGCAGCGTCGTTGCACTGTCGCCCGTACAACTGCCACCGCAGACATCGACTCTCACGCTCGGGAGCGTGGAGGTCGCGTCGGCCCCGCGTCGCGTTTTCGACCCTCGGTGGTTTCGTAGCGCCGCCGTCTCGGCGCCCGCGTCGTCCGCTGCAACGGCCGCCGCGACACCCCCCCGGCGCCCGTGCTTTGCGCGCTCAACTCGGGCGGTTCGGGCCCGCCGCCGCGCTGTGACAGTGAAATCGTGAGCCTCGCCGGTCGGTGCGGATGTGCAGTGATGGATGAATAGGACAGTGTGCACCCGCGGACCCTCAACCCGACTGTATTTCTGGCAGAGTGCGAGAGCGGGCCGTCAAAATTGAGCCCAAACTGTATCTAGGTGGGTATCGTTCCGCTTTGGAGCGGTGGAGCCAGCGAGAGCGCCGCTCATTGGCGACGCGTTCGTTGAATATTTATAGCGTATAAGTTGGAAAGTGTCGTTCTGTTTTAAGCAAGAAGACAAGCAAATCTATACGCCATCCGGTCTATACGCCCGCACGCCGTGGCGCAAACTTTTGGCGGACGGCATGCGGGCTCACAGCTGATCTCCTGTGCTATCAAAGAAACAACGATAATCATTATAACTCTATCGAAACCATCGCAACCGCATCTGAAAACAAAACCTCGCAAAGAAATACATGTTGTTTAAATTTCAAATTGTTAGCATCTGAGTCAAATGTCGATTGTGTAAGAACGTGTGGAACTAATTGTTTCACCTCTGTTCTTTTGGTGCTCATTAGCATAACGACGATGTGTCTGAGAATCACATGAATAACTTACAGAAAAGTTTAAGCGATCTCTATTTACAATTACGTCAGTCATGAGCAAAGGAATTAGTTTAATTAGCATTGCGCATACAAATCCTTCATAAATTCCAGCCGACTTTTTAAAATGCTGCACAATTTTTGTTTCATTTATGTTAAACTGACTACGTTTGTTACATAATAAGTTATAAATAGTACTAAACAAGGTTTTAGATTTCTCTATCAGATTTCTCTTTTTTAGTTAAAAGTACCAAATCTTGTTAAATACTTGCAATGAGTTATGTTTTTTACTATCGCAGTACTATTGTAATGAAGCAGCAAAAATATGTTTTTACAAATTATATTTTGATAACCTGTCCATAAATGTAGAGCAATTTATGGTTATAATGTAACGTTGAACAGTAAAAAAAGAAATAATAATTCTTTCCCATTCTCTGGGTCGTTGTAATTTTCTATTAAAATTTTTATCGCAAGGGATTGAAGGGGTGCTTAGAAACGTGAATCCTCGTTTCCAGTGCGCGATATTAGAAGGGGAGTTTAAATCAGGATAAAGCAATTGCTATAGTGTACGTACAGAAAAAAAACTTTACTAGTACCTAATGCGTGTTATTGCCGTCGGTGAACGAATACTCAATTCTTAACGACGCAGTCGATTGCTAATTTGCCTTCTACTGAAAGCTAACAAGCGATTTATTCAATAATGCGACCATAATATTCCTTTGGTTAGTTTCGAATTTAACGTACATAAAAATTCACATATCTTAGCTACACTTATTGACCAATAGCAAAACAATTTTTAATTTTCCTAACGACTATTTTGATACAAAGAAAATAAACACTCCTAGGCACCTCCATTCGATTACTCTTAACGCTTGTTCATTTAGGAAAAAATAACTTAATTAAGATGTTTAGCAGAAAGGAACTCAGTGTTTAAGTTTAATTAAAATAAGCATTTTATGATAAAACTAGATTATTTTAAGATTTGCGTACTAAAATTTCGTGTCTAATAGTAAACTGTATGTTATTATTGAACTCGAGAAAGCACTATTTAATATAAAGTATATATGTAATGGTGTGTTACAAAATTAGTAACTCCTCTTTTTTTAATCAATTGACGGTTTGTTTTGATTACGTTCCTCATAAATTTTATGTAACATTTTTGGATAGAACTGTGTACTTTTGGATTAATGATAGGATTATTCTGTTGATACAACGATAAATTGAAAGTTTACTTTCTCAAATTGAGAAGATCAAACTTTTCGACTTTGCTCATGAATAAGCTTTAAATAGAAGAAATTTAACGAACACTAAAGTGGTAGACACTTGTCAGAACTCTGCAATGACAGGGTTTCCGCACTCGTAATGAAATATACTATTTCGTTATAGTTTAAGTAATAGTCACATAGACTGTCATTCAAAAGAAGTTTTATAGAATTTTGGAATAGGTATGTCAATGAACGAAATATGATTCGTGTTTTCCGTTTTATAACATTGCTGTCCTCAATTATTACACAATTTTATCAATGATTAGAACATTCCTGACTTGTACCAAAAATTGTTATTAGAAATGATAGATATGAAGCCTGTCCTAGACTACATGCTGATTTTTACTAGAATTAAGCGAATTAATAACAGTATATAGAAATAATAACACAACAAGAAATTTACGAATATCCTGTTGTGTTTAAATCTCTTGACATCGGCGAGAAAAATTATCAGTCTACGACTATTACTGGTACATCTTAGGAGCGTTTCGGATACCTCGTCACTTTCTCGTGTCCGCGTGGCTGTAACTCGAGTGTAGATAAAAATGTGCCAATCTTCGAAAGCGGTACAAGGTCGTGCCCCCAATTCCCACGCGGGAAACCGTCAGATCACGTAATAAATCAGCAGCTGCGAACTCTTGCTGTCCTCTGTAATCGGAGACCTAACGTCTTGGGACGTTTAACCACTGCCCAGACTTTTTAATGCCACAGTTCAGTTTACTTTAGAACAAAGCAGTTACAAGTTTTCTTAACCGACTTAACGAAAAAGTGGAGATTCATTGTTACACTGTACATATTTGTTTTTGTATGTTCACCGACTTAGCAGTCTACTATGGATCGATATTGATTGATAATTTTTTTTCTTTGAAAAACTAAACTTAAAGGGATCTTGGACTTCAGGAAACTCTTCAAAATCAGAAAACAGAAAATGTATAATAATGAGATATTCCAAGTAGGTTTTGTTTTTTTAATAAAAATCTGTTATTAAACACTTGAGGTGTTTAATGAATTTTACGGTTCGGATGCCGTGACGTCTCGCTTTCGCCGTAAACGACTCGTGACATTTTATTAATTTGCAACGAAATATCGCTTCACCGTAAAAGAAAATTGTGAAAGTTCGGTCGAATTTGATTCTGTGGTACTGCCAGGCAACAATCTTCGCTCTTGCACGAATGTGCAAGGAGCAAGGTCTACCCGGGGAAGAACCAAGAGCTAACAGAAGACCGGCGTGAAGTGGAAGTACCTGAAACCCTACGGGTGTTGCAAATGTCCATGGGCGGCGGACATAACTTAGTCAGGTGAACCGTTAGCTCGCTCGGGAAATTAGTTGCGATGGAAACTGAACAATTGTTCAACGGTCGCGGACGTAGTCGGGATTGACTACGAAGCGCCGCATCGTAAACGAATTGAGATATTCCCAACGTAAACAAAGATCGGCTCCTTGACTGCGGAAACAATCCATGCAGGATACACGAAGGTATACACGGGCACGGAAATAGCCTGCATGTGAAACAAACGATGCGGCATACATCGCTCGCGCGGTGGATTATTTTAAAACACGCCACATTGTAGATGCCGGCATAACCTTACTACGGGCATTTCAATAACAATGTAGTTTTTGGGTCAAGAGTTTCTCACCGATCGATTTCTGCTTGATCGCCGGCAATTATGCTAAATACCCAAATATGTGGTATTGATGTCCTTCCCAATATTTTTCTTATATAATACACAGAATTTAAACACATCAAGAATTTATATGTATAAACAAAAAACAACAAAGTACAATAGATTGTCTGATTAAAATTCTTCGGATAAAACCTTTTAAGATTTGTCTAACCCTGAAGAAAGTTCTGTAAAGAAGTCCGTTTGCGCGAGGCACATTGTATCGACTTAATCATTATTTAATCGGAGCATTCCTCGCAGACGCCTTTATCTTACCAAGCCATCGCTATTCGGGCCATTTGGCGGAAGGCGCGTAAATGTGAAATATTATAAAACTAACGCCTAAATTTCAAATCTCAAGTGCGTTGCACCGGCATTCATTATCACTTGGGAGCGTCACGGAGTCAGGCGGTTGTTGGTTGTGTCAATAGCGGCGCGATTGCAGGTGCCTCGAGCGAGCTGCGGTCGTTCACCCCGCCTGTCACCGATATTTGGCCACGGTATACAACACCCATACGTTTATAAACCAGTGTGGAGCCGCTTTTAAAGATAACGGGGCCCGAGTCGGAGGTACGGAATACGCTACGTATCGGATTCGGGAATCGGGGACTCGTCGCTTCGATTATATCGGAATGCATAACACTTCGCGGCTCTCGAATTAGGACGGCTGTGGAAACGATTTTGTTCTTATGGTGCTTATTTAATTTTGTACAATATAATGCGAATGTCACGATTAAAAAAAAAGAATTCAAAGTAAATATGTTACGGGATATTAGTATACAAATGTTTTATTTGATTAAAATACAGTAGAGATTTTCCGACGTGCTCGCCGTTATCTTTTGTAATAACTACTTGCGTGCCATCAAATTAACATGCTTCGTTTGTTCTACATAAGTTCGTGCCGATCAATTATCTGAAAATTAAACGATTGAATTGAAGGGATTAAAACTTTGTGCGTCAAACTCAAACCAAAAACCATTAACTTAACTTGCTTGACTTCATTCAAACTTTTAAGCAGATATTATTTTTTAATTAAAACGAGAAGTTGAATATTTCATAGGGCTCCGAAATATTTAAAAGCCATATAGAACTCTATTTTTACGCAGTGAAGTGATTAAAATTCTCTGGAACTAGATAGATACGGTAATGTTGAAATTAAAAATTTTGATATATAAAAATACGTCATAAATTTTCGTTAAAATAAGAACATTTGTGACTTCTCATCATTTTTGCTTACCCGTGTTTATTCGTTCTTAATCTTTTATGTTGTAGACCTAATAGAAGCTCATATTAGGAAAATAGTCGTGATATAAACAGCGTTAAAACTATTTATTCATCATGGACGACGTATTTTAATCAATTAGAGTATTGATAATGAATGACCCACTAACTTATTCTCTGTGTTTTATTCATTATTGCTTGCATATAAATGGAATAATGCCTTTTGTAGTCTCTGTTTTTGAATACACGCAAGGATTTCAATAAAACTAAATATATTCACAGTACCGTCAAGGCTGGTTCGTTCACTTTCACGCAATATGATATGCCCGTGGAAGTGGCCTGGAAACGGAGAGATAACGATATACAGTTAATTTATCATCATTATTATAATGAAATAAACAATTCAAATTAACGTACGTATTTTAATTTTGTATTAACGTGAACTTAACTTGGTAAAAGTCGATCTAGTCGGTTGACAACGTCTTTGAAAACCCTCAGTTGCAGATGTCCATGGGAGACGGTAAACACTTAACATCAAGTGAACCACCTACTCGGTTGCCACTTAGAATCGTTTAAGTATATCTGTGCTTCTCATTCACTCTAATAATAATCATGTCAATTCTCGCTTCCACGCAATTCATAATTTATGTTATGCTTCTCATTTCAGTTGTTCGACTCTGGTTGATATCTGAAACTGTAATTTACTTCTTTATTTTCTTTTCATATTCCATCTTGTCTTTGGACTTTCTCTTCTTTTCTTGACTGTCCAAAATTAATAGCGTCATTAATTACTGTCGAATAAATCTTTAACTAATTGTAAAACTAATTCACTAATCGGCCTTCGCAACATACGCATGTGTTCATAGCGCTGCGTGACTTGACAATGCTTCTGACCCCAGACATTAGTTCATGGCAACGGATACATTAACATCTTAAAGAAATACGCGTTCGGAACAAATTCGAAACTTGTTTGGAACACGTTACAAGACAGTTGCACAACGTTAGCGTCAACATTAGAATATTAACGACATCTCAACTGGCTGGAAAGTGAAAAAGAAAACTTTAACACGGATTACATGATCGCACGGGAGAGCGACGGAGCGTCGTTTCGCCGCCAACCCGTGGCGTGTCGCTGGCTGTTTGTTTCGGCCGAGGGAAGTGGAATGTAGGGCACTGCGCGTTATTTCGGGGACCGAATGCGCCGACATCGGGGTTTCTAGTCGCCGACTGATAACAGACGGAGTTACTCTACAGTCGAGTGGACAGACGCAGAGTGGCCTTTGTTTGGGTGGGCGAAGCAGCGCGTGGGAGGCAAAGTGGCGCGAAGATTTAGCAACGAAACCAACACGTTCTCGCTCCGGATTGCGTAACAATCCGCGGCTGCCGCACTCTTTATCGGTCACGGCGTGGGCCACTGTCGCACAGTCTTGGAAAACTATCGGATAGCGAAGAAACACTTAATAGTTATCAAACAAATCAAAATTTATAATATTTAAATCAATAATGAAACGCTTGGTTAATGATATTTAATAAAGCCGTCTTGCAAAAGCGAAGCTTTTTTCGTACATGCCACCATGTACGAAAAAAGCTTCGCTATAAGTTGGTCGAAAATTAAACTTAAGAATAAGTACTTCCTCCACAGAATCGCAGAAAAATATCGGAGGTAAACCTCCGGCCTGTTACACAGACAGCGATAACACAGATAGTGAATTTTAAATCCATTCATATTAGAGAAATTTTTTAGACAAAGCTTTTACCGGTTTATACCAATATAACTCAATAATTGGATAACAATAGTACTTAGCTTTTCCAACAGAGCAACAGCCTTAACTTCCAATAACCAAAAACTAACCCGCGTACGTTGTATGAGTTGAATTTATACCCCTCAAATACAAACCATCCCCCCATTCTAGGGTGTAGGAAATATCACGACGCAATAGGTATCAAACCAACAACTTTTAAATAAGTCACAACAAACTGTACTAATAAATTATTGATAAATTATTAATTAGATTAAATATGTGCCATAATTATAACATTCATTCATACAGAAATTTGTACCAAATGTCGATAGGTAAGTTATAACGATGTCGTAATAGTGAAAATTATACTGTTGAAGTTAATTAAATGTTCTTAGTTTACGTCTATGCCTTATGATTATTTTAATCCAGTTTATTGAACGTGAATCTAAAGGCCCATTTACATGGTGCCAGTTTCTTGCCTGTTGTATACAATTAAATTGAAGCAATAAATGAGTTGCATGGTCTAAACAAGAAATGGTCTAAACAATTATTGCGCGCAATTTATTGCATTCAATTATTGCTCTTGTATGTTCAAGAAAATGGCATCGTGTAAATGGGCCTTAATTACAAATCGCTAGCTAAAAAAGTCGATAACTGACGCACTCGAGTACACTTTCAAATCACGCCGCCGCAGTCCGTCCCCAACTCCCCATGCATTCCACAACTTGCTCACCCACAGCGGACCGGTCCCCGCTCTTTGTACGAAACTATTACACCGCTGATTGGAACAGCACGCCGCTCGGCTCGACGCCGGTGTTCAAAAGTGGTCATTTTCACTCGGCCGCGTAATCCAAAGCGAGGTGCGGTTTCAAGGTGAATCGCCCCGGTCAACATACGCCCGATTGGTTCGAATACCTAGACCAAACACTGCCGCGTGCTATATCAATAAATAATTGTTAGAATACACTTAATTTTGATGACGATGTCAAGATTGTTAAAGAAAAAAGAATATTAATTAATGGGATTTGGTATACCAATAGTATTAGTACCAACATAGACTCAGCTCCTGCAGCTTGTCTTGGACCACCTAGAGACATGTATTAATTCTTTAGTTTCTTGTCTGCAAACTGAAGGGAGTTCATCGTCTTACAGCCTATTCCATAGTAAGCTGTCTTGCCATTTTCTCTCATAAAACAAGCAAAATTTTTGGCATTTTGCAGCGACGTGCAGTTTCCATGTTGGCGCGCAACAATTCTTGAGTGTCGTAAATTGTTCGAAATACAACACACGCAGCAACACAAGCACACCTCCAATCGAAGATCAGAAGGCAATTTACGTCATTATTTCCAACTCTTGGATATGCTGTAATGACACTATAACAAAACCATGGGACACAAGTAACAATTTTCAAAGAAGTAGGCAATTCGCTCGCGGTCATTCGTTTTCTCAGAACGTACTTATGAAATTATTTAGCTAGAGATTCTGCGATGATCCTCCTAAAATGCTATCTTGCAAATAATTACAATCATCCACATTAATGTGTCTCTGATCATAGAACATGAATAAATAAGTAATGATAGGAAGAATAGAGCTAACTACTCTAAGTAACCTATTTAAGTAATCATGATAAATAATATAATAAACGTTATTCTATCGTTAAAATGCATTATCGATCTTTTTAAATTAAAAAAGAAATAAACTATATATCATTTTTGTTCATCTAACACGAGAGCCCACATGGCGCAAGCCGAGGACATACAAGCCGTTCGGTCAAAAGCGAGGTTGCTTTTCGCAAAAAGAATTAGCATTTCAGAAGTCCGTCGGAGTTATAGCCTCTAACAATCGGTCGATTCTGCCTAGCACGTGCGTGCCTTTCGATTTGAAGAAGGCCTCAGAGAGCGATCGTTACGGGCGCGGCTTTATTTCGGTACGGTTAAATCTAACTCTAAAGATCGATGTCAATGGAGCGGACACAATGGGGCCGCGGGCGGGCGTTGACCGAAACAAGAAATAAACGCGAGCACACTCCAGTCGCTGGAAGCGGGAACTCGTGATCCGTGAATGGGACCAGTTTGTATTTTTCGTTATGAGACGATGATTCGTATTTCGTAACGTCGGGACAGAGTCCGCCATCGCCTCATCGCGTATAATCCAGGCGATTGAATGTTGAGTCTTGCCTTTACGCCCGGCACGAGGCTCGCGTGGACGAACCAATTTAATATACTTAGTTATACATTTAATCGACTCGACTAAAGCATTCTGATATTCAACTCAAGAAAATTGGTGACGTCGAACGCTACGTTTTGTTATACGAGAAGTTTGCAGGCGGTACACCTGATGGTAAAGACAATAATATCCTTAAGGGGTGTACCTTCTATTACTCCGCTTGTTTGTTATACGCCTTAGGGAAGAAAAACTTCCTTCAAAGGCTTGGAATGTCAACAACAAAATAATAGAGTCCTGCAGACTGTCTACTTGTCCGATTATGGAAGGGGGAGGAAAGAAATAAATTGTGAAATTCTTCTTCGCTCCTCACGGATGTTACCAAATAAATATTATCCTGGCCACGTGTGATAGATTCATAAGATGCCTAAGTTTACTTTTACTTGGAATATAAACCTCTTCGGATATCTTCAAGTGCCAAACGTGCGAGTTCTATAGCGAACGGGCCCCAATGTTAAGAACTGCGTTGCGCAAGCGCATCGCGACTGACAATGGCCGATGGAAGCGGGCACGACCCACTTGGCCGTTGGAGCGGCAACAGATGTGAAAATTGGCCAAGGTGATATACTCTATGTGGACAAAGCCTCCATTGAGATGCCTTGATTAGAACTTCGGAATATAGGGCTGCGAATGAATGCCGTATGCCTCAAGGAGGTTCAAAGGGACAGGCCACATTTCATTCTGGTATTTGAACTTGTCACTAATCCAGAATAATGAGATATTTTGAAGGGACAGTGAAGCGGCGTTGTATGAAAGTTCGATATTTATGTTGTATATATATTTATGTTGTATATATTTATATTTATGTTGATATTTAGATTGTATGAAAGTTCACAGTTCAATATAGGCTGCTTTTGATACGTTAAAACCGTTGCCAAATTATTAGTAAAATCAAGAAGTGAAATGAAGTTAGTACACTGAAAATACGAAAACACTCAAATGTATTTGGTTTATTTAATCGTATTTATTTTTTAAATATTAAATTTACTTCAAAAGAGTCTTATTCCGTAACCGTTTGTTTTTGTGTTTATTGCTTTCAAAGTAATGAAAGAAACAGGAAGTGACAAACGTACGAGTATGTCACCGTCGGTATCTATAAAAACTGTAATGCGAACCTACGCCGCCGGTGGCGCAGACACGTGTATACATACGCCATCTTAGCGCAAAAGTAGTTAGATAGATGTTGTAGACGGCAAACTATCGATCGACCGTCCGCCTCAACTCCGGCGAGTAATCCACGGAAGTAGGTACTAATAACTTAATAACGTGAACGCTTCGTCGCGGCGCATACATCGCTACTTTTTTATACGGGCGATCGTTATAAATACATCAGTCATGCTAATGCGCGAGCAATGTATGCCGCCGTGAGCAACAGTGATAATTTACATTCTATTACTACTTACATAATAACCCGCCGCGCTGGCCACTGCGGCGACGCATGGACGTATTGGATACTCTACTGCGAGCGAGAACGGCTCGATAAAATAGCTGGTTCGCGTGACAACTAATATTTTAATGTCCGCGCGTCTCTAAGCAACGGAATTGTTTCGTTTCCTCCTTCTAATTTCACTGTGACTTGATACGATTTTCATTCCACGTCATTATAGACCATTCAGCATTACACTACTTCTCTACGGTTCGAAAAGATAACAAGTGGAGGGGTTTTCGGTAGTTTATTGATAAAATGGACACATGACGAGTGGGAGCGTTGCCAAAGCGTTTCAACGGCACCTCAGCGTTGAGACCGTTCCGTTTTGTTGTCGACTCAAACTGCCAACTGCGGGGTATGTGTGTGTGGGGGGGGGATTTGGCGCCACGTGTAAGCAGGAAACTGTGTAAGTAGGAAGCAGGCTATTGATCAGGCGGGGCGGAGGCGGGGGGGTCCGCGGCGGAGCGGAGGCGCGGCCGGCCTTTTGGGCGGGCGGTGCGTGCCGCGTGCGTTCCCCCCGGTTCACGGCCAAGGCCCGCGCCCATTCAGCTCACGAGCACGTGCCCGAAAGTAAATATAGCAACCGTTATGCCATCGACGTAACGCCGAATAATCCGCAGACCCCCGTGCGACGTCCCCGGCGGCCGAATCACGGTAGACCGCCCTGTGAAGATGTGGAGTTGCACAACCAGCCCCAGCCGACGCTTACCGGCCGAAAACTGCGAACACTCAACATCAATCATTACCTTTGTTTTGCATACAGCGTACACGAAACATTTTTTTTTTCAGTTTTTGGTAGAGCCACCCAAATGATAAATTAACCGTAAAATAATACCAATCCAAAAAGCTAATATTCGCTGATTTCCAAAGCGAAGCAAGAGCTGCGGAAATGGAGTAATAACTCATATGTCGCGAGATACAGGTAACTCGAACTCGAAACAGCTACTGGACCATCTAGAGCGGTGCTTGCGATAGCATCGACGGCAATAATACAGCATAAGAATACAGAATAATAGATCGTACCTAGCTACATATCGTACCCACAGTACCAACAAATAGCCAGTACTGATTACATAAGGTGAATGAACTCCGTCCATAGAGTATTCGTAATAACTGTACTGCTGGCCTTCAACAATGGCGCGAATCTATCGAGCGCCGTTTAAAATAGAAATTTTCAGATTCAACGACTAACACTGATTGTGCTCAGTGATAGTTTTTGTTGGTCTGTGATTATCATCAAACCGGAACTTTGTGCAACTTGAAAGCGGCTGAAGGCTATTGTGAACATGAAATATAGAAATCGCATGTATAGACATCTATACAGACAAGATAATTTTTTTACTACAAACCACATGGTTTGTAGTAAAAAAATTATCTTCCTCTCGCTGCGGTTTAAAAACCAAGGTAATTATTTTTTTAAAAACAAATAGTAAATAATGGAATTTTAAATTAGTAAGGATCTGTAACCTCTATCAAGGCCAAGTTATTTTATCGGATACAGGAAATATGAAAATGGAGATAAACTTTTTATCATGCAAACTGTATAATTAAATGTTAAATTGGTTCGGCTAGAATACTTGTTTTCTTTTCTTACGTAAACGGGGCTTCTTTCTTATCTCGCTAAATAAAACGCAAAGTTGCTCTCCAAACGCAAAGTGTTCAGTTTGACAATTTTTTATATCACACACACAAAAATTAATTGTAATTGTATTTAACTAACATATTTTTTTTAATATCTTGTATTACAATTTACAATACTAACATTATAAGGTAATAATATTTGCAAAACAAGAAAACGAGAACCCAAGTCGCATGGGTGCGATGGGAAATGGTTTCCTACCTGTCTGTACTGGTAGTAGGTACTGTTGTTTGTTTTTGTTGGGATCCAAATTTGTTAGATTAAAAGATCATTATCATACAAATTTTCCTTTTCGCTGTTAAAATTATCCCTCAAAAGGCGTCCAATGCTTTCAGACAAATTTTAACTTATCTAATATTTTAGTCGTATTGGATATAATTTCAAATGTTAACTTTACAATTACTTTTGATATCCTATACGAAACAAAATAGGTACATATGTATTCTTACAGTCGAATTGAAGATGCAGTGCGCTCTCTTTAAAGCCGTGCGTGCAGTGAAAAATGTACTCAAAGCTTATGTATCGCTCGGCGATCGCTTCACACCAGCAGCGTCCCGCGCACAGAGGCGGGCGGTTATCTAGCAATATCGCACGCACAGTACTTACTAGCTACACGGCACCGAGCACAAACACAGGCCGGGGAACAAAAACAAAACGTCGCAGAATTATGTAGCCAGCGACGGCGCTCAAAGGGCCCCTTGTACGTGCTCTCCTATAATCATAAACATGGAAAACGCACAAAAGCCTCTCGGCGTCGAGTCGCGTCGCTGTCAGATAAAGTTGTTGCGTTTCTTTTGCGGGACGCGGTCGGCGCAGGTGGGGGGGGGGGGGGGGGGGTCGCGGCGCGTGCGAGCGAGATGGCCTGCCTCTCCGCTCCGATCGTTAGCCCTGATCTTCAGCGCGCCACAAACACACAGCCCGACCGAGAGCGAAATTGCAACGAGAACGCACCGAGCTGTGTTATTACCGCGGCGGCTGCGTTGCGAAACGGCCTTCGTGCGCGCCGCCGCCGCTCAACTTTCGACTTCATTACGAGCCGCTTCGGTTCGGAATCGCCTCGGAACCGGTCGTGTTCGGCCGCCACGCGATTGTGGACCTTATTATCGGGATATAAGCACCCTTCCAATCTGGCCGTGGAAGCGTCGAGCGCTGTATATTTAGCCCGCATTGCGAGCCGTAGTGGGTGTTTTAGGTCGCTCGCACGCACTGCTGAACTAGTCGGAGGGCTTCCTATTATCGATTTACGTTGTGCGGGACGTCGTTGTGTGGTATCTGGCGGCCTAACACAGGTTTTTATTCGTTATCCAGACGGAGAACTTTTTCTCGGCTTTTCCAACGCGTCGCGCCCGCTCAATTTCTCTTTCACAGAGCTATACTTAAGTGAAACCCCAGTTCAAGAGTAATGAAGCTTTCTCCGCAGCATTGACGTTTGACGGAATGTAAAGAATTTCGACGCACCGCTATAAACTTAACTTTATATGTCATGGACAATGTTAACTTAATTATTTTATACAATAGTGATATTCTTATGATCATGACCGGGTGTTTCATTGTGGGTGTTTGTCCACTTGAAATTTACGTATATAAAACGTTCTTACCACTTAAAACTACATATTATTATATCCTACAGAAAGGGCAACAGACAACAACAACAACAACAATGTCTTTAAAATAATAGAAATTTAAGAAATTCATGTTCAAACACGAAATTTGTGAATATCTGACCCTAAACTATTACATCATTGAAATTAAGAAAATACTTCAAGTACTACCAGTTATATCTACGTCATAGCTTTGCCAAAAGTATGACTTAAAATTGAACGCATTCTTTTATTCGCGTTTCTCTGAGTAATTTACAAGGATCGGATTATTGTTTGGCATCGTACGCCTTCGCGGCAGACTATCCAGATCGTAGGCGCAGGTATAGCATCCGGGGGGAATCTAGCCGGGGGAGGGGGGCGGGGTCAGCTACGCCCACACGCGCGATAAAACCTCGACTTTCTAGACGTCCACGGTCATTTCAGGTAACCGCAGTCCCCTATACGTATAACGCATATGCGCGACGTGAAAATATGCACTCGACTGCCTTTGTTAGATCGTCTGGCATTGATTCTGTATTATTATGAAGCTTAATTAAAAATCGACATCGGAACCAAGCAGCGAGTTCTATACAAATCGCACCATCATGTTGGCTAGCATGAATTTTATACTGGTGTCATTGAATAAGACACTTGTCGTCCAACACAAAATCATGTTGTGGCAACCTTAAAAGCAAAAGGAAATCGGCGTCGCGTTCCATTCTCGGTTCACTATTATATGTCAAGTCACCTGCGACAACACTAATGATCAAGTTGAGTCGATATTTTCCCTCGGACTGCAGTGACTAAACACCGGGCATGCGGACATGCACATCAATTTGTCCATGCTTAATGGGAATGCAGACTGATGTAAAAAAAACCTGCATACGAAAGTGATACTTAGCACAATCGACCCATTGTTATATTCTCGTCTTTAAGATTATTACACAGCCGTGCCAAAACAGCGTGAAGTTAATACATACTTGCCTCTCCGAGCCGTATTATTCATTCGGACCGAATCAGATGCACTCCTTTCTCTCGTTTCGGAGGTTTAAGGGCACGACATGTTTCTTTGGTCCGAGTACCGTTAGGCATTTCGGAATTACCTCCGCGAGATTTTATATCGAGAGCGGGTGAATCACGTAATTCTTCGAGGAAAATAACAAAACCGTGAGCAAGGCGAAACGGCGAATTGTTTTCACTTCTTTATTGTTATTCTCCGAAAAATGTTCAGTTACTCTATTTACACAATAGGCTACCATTATTATCAGAGCCGACGTCGTCGTAGCTACGATAGAATATGCGAAAACCATTCCGACCGTGGAAAAAGACTTCCCGTACTGCGGGCATTATGAAGCAACAATAGCGGAACGTCGAAAGTCCCTTGCGCGGCGCGGGACATACGCCCTTGCGGAACCGAACGGGGCGCCGGTCTGAAACGTGGCCCGCTCAATATCGCATGTACGGCGGAATACATCGCTAAATATAGGCCGTAGTCGTCAGGGAAGCGTGCAGTGATGGTTGTGCGTGGTCAGGACTCGGGACCCTCCCCCCCCCTACCGCCCGGCGCCACCCCCGCAGCCGCCCGCGCCTGCCTAGGGCCGCCAGGAGACCTGGCAGACCGAAACGCAACGAAGCCATCAAGCTGTAATGGATACGCGAAAGCGCTTTCACTTGTTTGCGCAGTCACGCTCCGAGTGTGCTCCTTTTATTGCTATTTTGCATTAATCGAAAATAATCTGCAGTGTTATGCATCGATCCCTGACGCGGTATCGTAACTTTAACGAATACCTTTTTATGGACAAAAAACAAAACCGAACCGAACTCACTATACATTTTGTATTTGATTTTGTGAACTTCCCGCAGTCCAAGGGCCAATTGCCAATAAAATTAATATTGGATCTAAACTGAACTCAATGCAAAATTATTTTTTTTAATCTGTTCAGAAATAACCGGGTTCAGAGGTAGCAAACAATGAAATACAACCGAATTGTTAGGAAACCTCTCCTTTTTTCACATCGGATGAAAATTTTGATGTCGCATAATGAATACAGGGCGTTGGTCCTGTTCCATTAAAGGAAAAAAAATTCATTGCCTGGTAGGCATGCACTAAGTTAAATGTAACGAAAGCCTAGTGCCGATGCACGGCAACCCTAGCGCGTACATAAGGGTGCGCACGGGGCGCAGTACATATAGCCGCGTGCGTGTGCGTTGCTATGCACATTTGTGCATTCACTGCGCTGTGCGGTATACATGGAAAAGTCTGGGGCGCGGTCACTCGGGCATGGTATTCCCGGCGCAAAATCTCCCATTGCGTTAGGTCAGTAATGGAAACGACACGAATCGTGTACATTCATTATTAAGTACGATTTTGTTTTGCTTTTGCTTTGAAGTAGAGCAATAGGGCGTAGTTACTCAAATGTACCTTAATAAGGTACGTGTTAGTATAAAGCCCTTCATATTTCCCAAATTTACGCGCTTTAACGGGATAGGTGTTTAAAACTAAATAGGTTTGGGGTCGTCTTTAATACGTTATTGCAAATTGACACGGCAGACGTATAAAATAGTAAAACCTAGTTTTCATTATGTTACAACTTCAACGTATCATATGGAGGTTCGTGTCGTAGAGCGTCTATACCTAAATCCTAACGTACGCACGGTGTATTCCGCAGTTTGTAAGCGAGGGTGGCACGAGGTGTCGATTACACTGATAGTCGTGTAGCAGGGCTCGCTTTGGTTGAATCATCAGCGTAAAAATCATTAGTAAGTATAGATATAAATGTGTTATTTTGAACTTACCATTAGCAAGTCTAGTTAAGTGGTTCTCACAATTAGTCGTTAACAGAAGTTCAATCCTAACAAATTGGCTAAATGATAAATATTATTTCAAATGAAAAAAAAAATGTGCAACGCCCCAGTCCAATACTAAAGTGAATTAATATAATTAATATACGATACGCGTAACCTAAATAATATACTGTAGTCATATAACACTATAAACTTCTTATAAATGGTTTTAGTTTGTTGAACAACTTTTACTCGACGTTGGTGGTTTTAATATGTTCCTTTCCTAATTTGGTTTTTATGGAGCTGTCGGCTATTCATCCCTTTTAAAGTTTAGCTCACAGAAAGATTCTTTCGTTATGTTAGAGCTTAACGTGTGAGGTTACGGCTATGTTTAAAGTCACAGCATTGCACATTTCACGGCAAAATTACAGCGGACCGAGAGACTTGGCCCCAGTCCTTTGTTTCTAGCTGTGATAAAATTTTATTTTCGCGTAAATAACACTCTTTAGTGCCCCTAACGTCCACTGAGCGTGAAGAAAAGTGGCTGGACACGGACGGACAGAAATACATTCAAATGTTATATTATGTCGTTGCCGTCGTTAGACCTAAATCACTCATATTCAATTATATACATTCATTGTTAAATTATATACATTTCTTATATATAGTTTTTAAGAAATATATATTTCGAACTTTTACTTATGTAAACTTAAGTTACACATATACAGTACATTATTAATTATGTACACAATTCTAACTCTTGCGTCGTAGATTGTTATTGTAACATAAAAGTCATAATAGACTACAAAGAAAGCCGAGATTTATAAAAACATGTTTACTTTTAAGTACCTACATTGAGCAAACTTATCTTGAAATACGATCGCGTGGCGTGAAAAGGAAAATATCACCTCGAGGCTTCTAGAAAACCCATAAAAAGCCCGCACTGGATGGTTTTTCTTTATTAATAATGTAATATAGTTCAAGATAGCAAACATTAATATACTGTGCCTCCAGAACACAACAGAACGTAACAATTTATTTTACATATTTAATTACATATTATAATTATAATCATTATCGAAAACAGGTGTCATTTAAATCATTTCTGAACTTATACTTTGGCGCGTTTGGAAAAAAGCATTAGAGTTAAAATCTTTACGATGCCCGCGCACACTGAAAAGCGACATGTTGAAGTTGGTTACAAATAAACCGAGTACTACCGACTTCATTGTATTGCCATGGCAACCGATAATAATTTTTTGACATTTACTTAAAATTCTATGTTTTTTTAACTAAACCGTTAACTAACAATTTCATTTAATTTCATTTACACAAACAAAGGTGAAACAAACAGAGATGCAAAGGGCATAAAATTTTTAGTTATTTTTCTTTTGTAAGGCTAAAGAAGTATAACTAGAAATAGTTTTTTAACTGTCACCTACAAGAGTGACCAAAGTTATATGTATTAACTGCAGTTTCGTTTAAAAAGACTGTAACAATTTTATGTTACAGATTTCTTAAAGTACACTTGTAATCACTGTTTTCATTCTTTCTCTTATATTTTTTTTTAGTGTCCGCATTTAAAGCATTCAACTATATTGTCATGTATTCTTACGTCATTTTAAAATGTTAAATAAGAAGGATTCAGTCCAGTTAAATTATGTATAGCATATAGTAAATTAAGAGCAATAGTATAGTTAAAAAAAATTGAAATATTTTAAATGGAACATTATACAGACGCTATAATTAAATTAAGTTACAATTTTTATTGTTCTAAATAACTTCGAAGTATTTTTAAGCTGTAGCGAGTCGCCAAGAATAGTTACATGTTAAAGAGGCCGCGAACTCCCGCGCATGAAACCTACGTGTGTGTGCGTGCAAACCTGAATTAAGACATGGCGGCAACATCGCCATGTGTAGTAGTGTGCGCGTTTTGCGCTAGTGTGTGTGTCAAACGCGTCGACATTTGCATGCCATAGGCGTAGACTACAATATGGCAGCCGACTATCCAACTGAATACTCGATCAGTATGTCAAATTCGTTAGTCGCTGTCAAAGTTGAGTGACGATAATGTTACAAATCATTAATATCTCAAAATTAACTAACAGTATAGTAATATTATTTTCCGAGTAAAAATTCTAACAAGTTACAACGATTCAATATTTATATTCAACAAATGTAGAATTTGATTAAATTTAATCAAATTAAACTCATGGTATAGTTTCATTGAAACGGATTGAACTGATAACTCCTGGGAAATTTCAATCAAGACATTTCATTGAAAGAACATTAGAAACGTGCACAATGCAGGCAAAGAGCGAAAAGAATTTCAATTACGGCGATCACAATACGTGTAGTGTGGAAAGAAAGCACGCAACATATCCCCGGCTTCGCGCTAATTAAATTATGTCGTTGCGTCGCGACCCGTACGAGGTACACCTACAGTGCACGCGTTGTAATAGAACGTGGGGGTCAAGCTTAACTGGCGTTGAGTTATACTGCAACATAGTAAGGTTGCGTAAGAAGCACGCGTGTCGTTTACCCCGCGGCCTTCGCGCAGTTTCATGGCCCATAATCGAAGCCGTCTAACCCAATGAACCAATCGAAATTAATCAATTCTTGACGAATACTTCTTGCACCGTGAACGAGGCCGTTTCACGAAAAATAGTTCATAGGTTGCTGAATCCATTTAAAAGTACAATATGTCAGTATATACGAGCGTCTATACTTATAAACATTTTTGAAGTGAAATTTCAATATGCACGTCAAGAAATTTTTGATTATTCATACCACTTCAATACATTCAAAATTAAAAAGTTTACACATCTGTCAGCAGTCACCATGACTGCTTTTTTTTTCGATAAATTTAACTCGGAAGTAGTTTAACGAGAATGCGGAAAAGAGAACAATGGTGCCTTGAAAATAGCTGTTTGCCGCCAAACAAGCACTTGTTAAAATTCCAAACTGGTAACCAGAAGTCTCTGAACTTTATAGCTATTTTTGCCACGGTGCGGTTAGAAGTAGTAAAGTTTATTATTTAGAAACAACACGGCAATTTTAATTGAAATGTTTTTTTATGAAAATTACAACATGGCGAATAGATTACATTATAATAAATGGTTATTTAGAATTTTCGATGATTTTTTATTCTATTTGATTGATTTTAGTTATCTTACACATTAAAATAATGCTTACTTCCTTCAAAATCCGTTCAGTTGTATTTGCGTGAAAAAGTAACAAACATCCATTTTTGTTCATTTAAACTCCTAATATAAAATTGTTTTCTATTTATTCTATTTCAGCCAATTTAAGGATATTTCTTGGTTTGGCTACCGTCCGGTAGATGTCGCTGTTCTTGGTGTCATGTAAAGCTTTTTTCATTTGCTGTTACCATAATAAATACGCGAGCCTAACGACGCTTAAAAACACTGTTACTTTAGACCTGAGTAAAATCGCGCCGTGAATATCGTATTACGGCAAGAAGTATTCAGTGCGCCAGGAGAAACATTGCGTGATTTGAAATCTAAACGTGTAATTTAATTGGTTTCAGATTACAACGCCGCCCCGCTGTTCGCCTCGGAAAACGCCTCCAGTGGTAAGGCACCGTCAATGCAATGACAAACATTTTTTTTAATGTGAAAAGTTGACAAGCGAACGGGCGGTTCACCTGATGTTAAGTGAATACCGCAGCCCATGGACATCTGCTACGCCCGAGGGTTACAGATGCGTTGACAACCTTTTGAAAATTTGGCTCCGGCTACCTCACTCACCAGACGAAACGCGAAAGTATTTGTCATACTTCCACTTTACGCCGGTCTTCTGAGAGGTCATGGTACTTTCCCGGACGAGCCTGCCCATTCGTGCAACAGCCGAGGTGGCTGCGTGGCTCTACCACAGTAATTATTTGTTGTGCATTAAAACCACACTAGTTGCGTCTTAGTCAATCTTTAATCAACTTAAGCAAAATAAATGATGAGCATTTCATTATTGCTTTAACGTAAATGATGCAGGCGTAGTCCTAATCATGTACCTATATGTAGATTATACTGCGGTAGGACCACACAGTAGCTTCTGCTGTTGCAAGACTCGGCAAAAACGCCCTAGAAAGTCTACAGCCTCACATAACAACGACGTGAAGTGAAAGTATTAAACTTTTGCTTTTTGTTTGGTGTGCGAGGTAACCAGGTAACGTCAGGTCAACCACCTACTCGCTTGCTACCCAATAACAGAAAAATATGTAGCAAATGGATATAATTCAATAAACAATAAATTAATTATTACTGAAAGACGTAATTGTGTTTCCAATTCGTTAATTAAAAAAAAATGTGTTGCTTTATTTCTTCATAACAAGTTGTCGGATTTAAGTCGTGTGTACAGGACGTCTACGGATCCGCTAGTGTACCTATTATATATATAATAAATATTTAAAATTGTAACAAAGAACATACAAAATTGCTGATTCGAAATTTGTCTCAAAAATAATCTGTCGGAATGTCTTTGTGTGACCATAAGACGTAGACAGTATACAATAACGTGCAGGACAGCATTTCATTTCAAAGTCACTCCGTTTGACAGGAGACATTGACGGAAATTTGCTCACAATGCCGTTCCGAAGCTTGCCATAAGATTGATAGTCATTTTCAGAAGAACCTGTTAACGCGAGACCGTTAAAGAGAAATATTTCGAGACACTTTTGAAATGCAACATTCACAACAATGTAACTAACTTAAACTGTGTAAAACATAAAAAAGTTTACAGTTTAAGTGAAGGTTGGTGGTCAGCTTCGTGAACTTATTTCTATTCTTCGCGAGACACGAGAGTTTAGTAGTATTAGTTTATCGTTTTTCATATGACGACAGACGCGGTTGTTCACGTAAAACGCTTTTTGAGGCTTCAATGCGTTGAGCTTTGAGGCTACAATTCCCGTCGACCCTTTTTGGATTACACACGCGAAATCGTGTCCTTCGTAAATCTCGGGGCTTTGAATTATAGGTAAACGATGAATACAGCAAGTCGTGTCGTGCCTCGAGCGAGAACGACTGTTGCCCGAACGCCTTTCCCCGCAGATGTAATAGATTTCTAACATGTTTATTGTAATGGCTTCGGATAAGAGAGATTTATTAGCAAATGTCGGTGAATACCTGTTGATCCTCTAGTAAATCTCCGGAAAAGTAATTAATAAAAGCGGATAGGAAATATGATCATTGAAATTTACAATGTCGGCGTTGTACTCATCTCTGATTCAAAATGTATATTATGATTTTCACTCTTGGTTTGATGTGCGTTTTCAATGGACTTAAATGAAAAAATAGCCTGGTTATTCTACAGCATAATCTGTGGCGAAGATGCGACCAAGTCGGCTGATAAGCGCGCCGTGATTGCAATGATATTTCCAATACCCGTCTATCGGTTATTAACCTAATAAGATAAGCTATCGCGCCGCGGACGCGAGCGTCCTACATACTTCCGTGCGCCCATTATGAATGCAGTGCGAAGCATTGCCACGCCGATATAGATGTAAGGTATGCCAGCGAGCAGTGAAAGTAACTCTACTATCACCCGCAGTAAGCGCGAGTCAACAACAAACCCAAGTAGATTATGTCCCGTTTTAAGTTTATTTTTGTTTAATAAATTTTTTGGAAAATTACCAACGGAATTTTGTTTTACGTTAAGTCAGTCGAACTTTCTCGCAATTTACGATGATTGATGATTATCTCGTCTAATTTACCTCTTTAGGCATGTCTACGTCTACTTATTATTTTATATTTGGTGCGTTGTGATTTTTACAGATATAAATTTGTTGGCAAATTTGAATATCTAGTATATCTCTTAGTATGTTCTACGTACAATTATAAGCACTCCATTTCGTTACCCGGGGTAGGTAGAGACTATTATAATCTCCACGATCTTTGCGGAAATTCAAATTTTCACTACCTTTGCGCACCACATTCGTTACTTCCATATCCATAAACTTACATATACATGCAGTAAAATAACAAAGTGCTCCATCATGGATTGTGTTATTACTCTCTATCGTATCTCTTGTCCAAGAAAATTCAAACGTTTATATTTAGGTTTGTCTCAATCAATATCAATAAAATAGCCCAAGTGTGATGACATAATATTAGCTTTCAGAAATATCAAGTAATATTTTTTTTGTGAAACATAAAATGACTATAATTTTAACATTATGTGATAAATAATAAAACTAATGCATAAACATAATGCAGAATTGGTAGTGTTAAATCGCAACATTTTATAATTTTGAACAAAAAAAAACCGACTTTAAACAAAAAACTAAAAAAAACGTTGTCAGGCCCTATAACATTTGAGGATTGCCCTCGATTTCTCTGAGATGCCATCATCAGATCTGGATTTCCTTATCATGGTGCCACCTTTAGGATACCTCCTTTCCAACAAAAAAAGAATCATTAAAATCCGTTCATAAATGACGAAGTTATCCCCGAACACACATAAAAAAAATAAAAATATATACGGTCGAATTGAGAAACCTAATCCTTTTTTGAAGTCTGTTAAAAAAGGATACTCTCCGATTTTAATCAGTCGCATTAACTTCACATTTGAACTAAATTTTTATTTTACGTATGTTGGTTATGTTATGAATGTTTAAGTTTAGACATTTTTCGAATTATCCTACTTCTACATTTATACGATATAATAAAATAACGTAATACGTAAAATAACGTAGAACTGAGAATAAAATAACGTAAGAATACGTTCTTTTATTCTCAGTTCAGAGTCTTCGTAGAAATTTACGGAATATAGCCCTCTATAAAACTTTCTACCAGGTGACGGTACTAATTAGGCACGCTCACTGTTTCTTTATATAGTTGAATCTCGGTATATTGACCCTATGGCATTAACGGTGCATGGCCCAGCGTCCTGTTCTTGATGTACGCCGCTTACGAGGAAATAAATGGCCCAATTATCAGCTCCGCATTATCCCGACCGCGCATAAGTATGGCAGAAACGCGCAATCGCGACCGCTCGGGCCTGGACTTGACAGTATAGAGTATATTCAATCTCTTCTGACAGGGTTACTATGCACGAATGCTCACTGGAATATGTACTTTATGATAAATCGTTTAGTGCAGTTGTTAAGGACGGCCGGGGGTCATCGGTTCGATTATAAAAAGAGTAAGTATTTGTATGCTTACAGATAATTGGGCCGGGTCTGGGTTCTGTTACTTTATCCCTTCCCTTGTTACCTTGATATCAGTATCTAACTGAAAATGTATCATGATACTAACAAATACCTACACCCTACTCATATACAAAATGAGCATTATATATAAAGAACAATTCACGTAACATACTCATGTTCATAACGTTTCTATGCGCGGCATCGAGTCAACTCGTACAACGCAAAGGCTGAACGCGTGGAGTGCCAATTACGAACGGGTGCGTTGAGCGTGTTCGTTCATTTGCGAGGCATTCGGACCAGCGAATGGCCCAGACGCGCCTCCGACGTCGTTAAATGAAAGTCGATGCTCGCCGTCATTAGCCGCGTATCGCGGAACGCAGCCACTTGCGGTCGCCGTGCAATTGATATTGTTAAGTTCGCTTTCTCCCGTTGGCCTACGGCTATTGTATTTGTGTTTTAGAACGTTCACCGCAAAATTAACCCACTTCGGGCAACGGACATCTCTTTTTCTATGGTGTTCACAGTTGAAATTCATTCCGTATTCATTGATTTCAATTAAGAAAGTTAATTTGGGATTTTTATTGCGCATAAAAGTGAAATAGCCGCTGCATAATTGTACTTTTGTTATAGAAGCTATGTCAAAAAAATTAAATAAAAGGCTATATGTAGATGTTCCTCCTCTGTACAGAAGGGACAGATGTGGAATTCACGTATCTTTGAAAAACTTTTTTTTCTGTTAATGATGATGCTTTCCTTCCCCGTTGAGCACGTGATACGTCAGCACTTAATATTAACAATTTCATTGGCGCCGTCACCGGAGAACGAAATCAGGTTGCGCGAGTAAATTGAATCGAAGGCGATAGCCCGGTCACTGAGCAATCACAGCTCTCAGTCAAAAAAATCTCCAGCTTACAGTAAACATAACGAAAATAGTCTGGAAAAATTGCGCATATACATCTAATCTCAAAAGTTTGAACAAACCTGAAGTGCGTACCAAAACTTTTCCACTGTTCCCCTTTACCATAACCGATCAATTCACTCGTTAATACAGTGAGAAGTTCATAAGAGATTTGACTTTGAAAGTTTCCATCCAGGTGGTCTTATCTACCACATCCCACGTACAGGAGACGTTTTGTGATATGTGGGAGAACAAATTATTCCGAGTTGCATTGAATGTTTGAGTGCCGTACACGAGCAGGACGAGCTCGAAACGAGTTGAATTCAAATTTGTTTTGTACCAAAGTGAATACATTGATATTGATGCGGTCGATCTGGAGAAACTGCGTCATAGTAACCGCTATATAAACGTATTGAGAGCGGATCTCCCTAGGAGCTGTTGTTGTGTACGCGGCGGGGATCGATTCTGATACAATGAAATATTCAGGCCCTAGTTATCGCTTCGGTTTGACGTCGTTTCAAGATCAGAAGAA